GCTCTTTATTTATAATTTGGGTTTCTCATATAAGAGAAACTGCCATATTGAAGTTTGTGTGTCTGATTTATTTCACTTAACATTATGATCTCAAGGTGTATCCATTTTCTTACAAATGATGCAAATTTATCTTTATGGCAGAGTAGTACTCCATGGTATTTTAATACCAAAGAAAATAGTTACAAAATTAAGTTTATGCAATCTCTGGAATTACTTATGAATTGATTTTTACTTTTTTATGTGAGTTAGACTGTCTAGTGCCTTTTCATTTCTGAATACTTCTCTTTAGTATTTCTTGTAGGACAGATCTAATAGTAGTGAAGTCTGAGCTTTTCTGGGATTATCTTCATTTCTCCTTCATTTCTGATAATTTTTAATTAAAAGGATAATTTTGTTTGATTTCCTTAAATGCTTTGGTTGGATAAGTCTTCTAGATTTTGCTAATGGGCTCTGTGAATGTGTTGGGGCATGACTTCAGTGCTTTGCCAGACAGTTACAACTCTACTTTTGGTTTTCACTTGCTGCTTGCATAGAGCCTCAAAATCAGTCAGAGACCAAGGCCTTCTGTTTTTGTTTTTGTTTTTCTTTTTGAAAATAGGCCCAAAATCTACCCAATCCTCAATGTGTGCCTGGCCTTCTATATTCCCAGGAATATGTGTTAGAGTTTTCCATAGACCCCTGCAGACAGTTAATTCCACAGCTTTTCCTCATAAGGTTTCTAGAAGTTTTATTTGCTTCAACACTTGCCCCAGATTTAGGCAGCTGCGATTTTTAAACAATTTCAACTTGATTAATGCCCCTTGAAAATACTGTTCACAGTGAGTGTGTTCTGAGTCAAGTCAAATAAAAAAGAACCCTGCAAGCAGGACCTTCCAGGGAGAGCCAAAAAGGTTAGACAGTGACAGTTCTCTGAGAATGAACCCTGAAATGTATCCTACAGTATCGCCTAGGTTGCTATTTTCACAGATGTGGGAAGTAGCTTGTTTTCAAGACTAGACCAGCTTTCAAGCTGGAGAAAGGAAGAATGAAAATAGGACAAGTTAAGTCACCAAAGATCTTAGTATTCTTACAAGATTCAGCCATTTGAATAAACATTTCTTGGATTATTGCAAGCTTTGGTTCATTTCCAGAGTTCTGAAAAAGTTAATTTCGCCAATGTTATTGCATTTATGGAGGATTAGATTTTCAGTCTTACTCCACTTTTCTGGAAGTCTGGAACTCAAAGACATTTTCAACTATGTTCAATTTTCACTTTACTCAAGTACTTGAAAATAAAATCCTTCAGAGATTGAACTCTATTGTCTCAATTCAATTTTACAAGTATTTGTTGCACTTCTTTACATTTCCTTAGCATTGTACAGTAAGTCTCCAACTTACCAATGAGTTTCATTCTGGGAGAACTTTTGTAAGTCACATTCCTTCATAAGTCCAACAGAGTGAGTCTTATACACCTTTGACAAAACTATACAATGTGTATTGGTTTGCGCTTCCTAGCAGTCCCTTCCATACCACCACTGCTTATTCCTCTTGTTTCTGGGAATCCTGGGCTCTGATTGAGCACTGTACTACTATACACTATTGTGCTGTACAGTGAGCACACAACAACACAGCTGTGACAATGTTCAGCAGATACATGAGCTACTTCTGCGATTTGTTCACATCTACCGTTTGTAATGTGAGGAGGTCTGTTAATATCTGTGAAAGTTTGCAATTCAATGTTTGTAAATTAGGGACTTACCGTACTTCCTACCGGTTCATCTATCATATAATTAACTTTTGCTTGTTAGTTCAGACCAAGGGTGCCAAATCCTGCTGTGTCCTGAGTATTTTTGTATAGATAGCACCCTGATATAAATATGGTTTTTGTGTCTTTAAAGGGTTGTAAAAGAAACAAAACCCAAACAAATGAAGAATATGTGACAGAGAACATATATGACCACCAAATAGAGCCTAAAATATTTAGTAACATTTTACAGGAAAAAAAAATGCTACACTCGGGCCAGGGATTTAGCTCAGTGGTTCCGGCGCCTGCCTCACAAGCGCAAGGTCCCGAGTTCGATCTCCGGTACCAAAAAAAAAAAAATGCTACACTCTGATTTATAATGAAGGAATAATGGCATGGTGATGACACATGAATCTATTTGCTACAATTGCCTTTGTTGTGTTTTTTAAGCATTCACTATTTCACTTAGAGTTCCAAATTACAGGCTCAGAGCTGGAAGAGGCATTACACATTATCTAAAGTTTAGATTTTACTGATGAAAAAACCAAGGCTTAAAGAATTTTTCATCTAATTAGCCAGTTCTAAATCCTCAGATTTCTGAATATGTTTTAGCCATCTTTCCATTCTAAGTTGCCTAAAAGTTTTCCAGTCCTATCTTTCTCAGCAAAAAGCATTCCTAATGTTAGATAAGTAAGTCCTACTTCCTACTCTTCTTTAGTTTCACTTATTCCTTTATCTCAAGGGAAAGCTTTGTTCTTCAATATTCTTGGACAGTCCACTACTGAAGTTCTTTTTTTTTTGCCTCATTATACTAAAGGGAAGAGTCTCTTAAATATCTATATAGTTGATTCTAAATTTTTCTCCTTGGCATCTTGCTGATAACATGTGTAAACATAGTGGTTTTCAAATTGTGCTCCATTTGGGGATGAGGAGAAAGGTGGAACTGAATAAGACTCAAACTATTTCACTTCTGGTTCAATTAGAACAACTATACTTTTCTCATGAAGTGGGCTTCCAAGCAAGATTTCATTTGAAACCAGGCATGGTGGTGCATGCCTGTAATCCCAGCACTGGGGAGGCTGAGGCAAGAGGATTGCTGTTTGAGGCCTGTCTGGGCTACATAGTGAGTTCAGGGCCAGCCTGAACTACGAAGGGAGACCCTGCCTCAAAACAACAACAACAACAAAAAGATTTCATTTGAATAGAGGACTTAAATAGAGGAGATAGACGTTGAGTGGGAGGAGGAGGAGGAGAGAGAGAGATTTGAAAATCATTTATTTAGACCATGGATGAAGTCTACCAGGAACCACAAAGATTTCCAAATAAATCTCAGGGAACACTGAGAAAAACTGATGCTGTATCATTCTATCTCCTGGAGATAGAGATAAGGCTTGAGACCATAGTGGAGCTAGGAATCCCAATTCCTTGTGAGAAATTGAAACATCAGGAAATAGGCTGGAAGTGGGTAGATATGATACATATTCTCAGTTAACCATGTGCTGAGAACTTGGCAGTTCTCTGAGAACCTGAAAAGAATCCACATATGTATTCACAATTGACTGACAAAGGTGTAAATGTCAGTCAATGGAGGAAAGAAAGCCTTTTCGCTAAATGATGCTTGAACATTTGGGTATCATAGGTAAAACAAAGAAGCAAACAAAAACCTTGACTTAGAACTCATACTGTATGCAGTGATTAACTAAAAAGTGGAATTTACTTAAATGTAAAACATTTAGAAAGGAAACATAGGAGAAAATCTCCATAACCTTGGCTAGACAAAGAGTTATAAGATTTACCCACAAAAGAAAGTGAATAAATTGGACTTCACTAAAATAAAAATCTTTTGCCTTGCCAAAGACCATACAAAAGGTATGAAAAGACAAGCTCTATAGCTTGCAACCCATATGTCTAACAAAAAATTTTTTTGAAGAATATAAAAATAACATTTTTTTTTTGGTACTGGGGATTGAACTCGGGACCTTGCGCTTGTGAGGCAGGCAGTGGAACTACTGAGCTAAATCCCCAGCTAAAAATAACTCTCAAAACTCTACAGCAAGGAAAAAATGTAATCAGGAAATGAACAAAAGACATGAGGAACTATTTCACTGAGAAAGAAATACAAATGTCATTTAGGTACATGAAAAGATATTTTAACATCATTAGTCACCAGAGAAATGCAAGTGAAAACCACAGTTAGAAATCATACAGATCCACAAGAACAGTAAAAAAGTAGTGAAAGCACCAAGACTGGTGAGGATGTAGAAGCACTGAATCACTAATATTTTGCTAGTGAGAATGGGAATGGTACAGCTATTTTGGGAAATAATATGACAGTCCTAACAAAACTAAATATGCATGTGGGCCAGGGATTTAGCTCAGTGGTTTCGCTGCCTGCTACGCAAACGCAAGGACCCGAGTTCGATCCCCGGTACCAAAAAAAAAAAACAAAAACAAAAAACTAAATATGCATGTGAAACAACCTAGATTCAATCCCTACCATCAAAAAACAAAAACTAAATTATCATATGACTCAGAAATTGTACTCTTGATCATTTATCCCAGAAGAAATGAATATTTTCATTTACACAAAAACCTGTATATGGATATTTATAGCAGTTTAATTTGTAATAGCCCAGAATGGGAAGTATGCCACGTATGCTTCAATGGGTGAATGCTTAAGCAAGTTGTGGTACATTTACACCATGGAATACCACTCAACAATACAAAAGAGAGAACTGTTGACACATGCAGCAACTTGGACAAATCTTCAGGAAATTATGTTGAATAAAAAAGGTCAACCTCAAAAGTTTACACAATATAAGATTCCATTTATAGAACATTCTTGAAATGCCAAAATTATAGAGATTGGAAACATTATTTGTTGTCAGGGCTTAGACACAGGGGAAAGATGGTTGTAGCTATGCAAGGTTGTAGTTATCAGCAAGGGAGCTTTGTGGTAAAGGTGAAGCTTTGTATCTTAACTGTGGTGGTGGGCATACAAATGTGCATGTGATAATATTACACAGAACTACACACACATATACACACATATGTACACACACAAATGAATGCATGAAAAATTGCAAGATGTTAGCTTTGGGAGAAATTGAGTAAAGGTTATACTAGTACCTGAGTGTCTCCCTATATGTGTTTCAACTTCTTAGGAATCAATAACTATTTCAAAATGGAAAATACTAATTAAAAACCTAAAACAACTTTTCCAGAGCTCAAGGTGTCAAGAAAAGGAAAGTTAACAGTGTTTCTTCTCTTCTTATAGGATCTGTACCTGCCTCTGTCCTTGGATGATTCAGACTCACTTGGTGATTCCATGTGAAGGGGGAGAGTATTCAGTCCAGAGTATAAACCCAAGCCTACCGTGACAGTACGGTACTTTTGCTCAAGTGTTCAACAGGGCTATTGGTGCTTTCAAATTTTTATTTGTTTTTGTTATTTTTCAAAACACACTGTAGTATGTTGGGTTTATTTTCCTGTGATTTCTCCGCTGGGCCACTGATCCACAGTTATGAATTAAGAGAGATAGATTGATAACCATCCTTTGCGGTATCTTTCCAGGGATGCAAAATGTGCTAGTCCATGACTTTTCTACTGAATGATCAGACACCTTCATTGTCTTACTTTGCTCATACACTGTAGCCTTCCTTCTGTTGAGGGCTGTTTACCTGCACAGCATTTAAAGTGTTTGTAAGGGGGAAAAAACTCATTGCCAGATCCAAGAGTGGCAAACACAAGTGCCCCTTGTCTCTGGAACTTAAAATTGCTGGAGGATCCCAGGAGGATGTCATGGTAGCTCCCCAGCCTTGCTCTTCACTCCTGATTGAGCCCCAATTTGGTGTCTAGCACCAACTCTGGCTGTCAAAGGGGAGAAACACCAGCAACTTAAGATTGTGACACCAGATGCTTAGAACTGTGGCGTAGGGTTAGCCAAAAGAGGTGAGGCAGAATTGGGAAATTCAGATATTTCAGTAGAGTTTGTAAAGCACAGTGAATTCCTGGTCAACCTCTCTAATAGGCCAATTTTGGAATCAATAAGCAATTGATGAGTTTGGGGTAAAGGATGTCATATAACTGATCCCTCTAGGAGGCTAACATACTAAATCATTACATGAACTGAATGGTATCCATCTATCTCTGTTCTATTGAATGCCTTGTAAACAGCCAATACTGAAAACACTGTGAGAATTTGTTTTCAGGTCTGACACCTTTCAGTTGCTTTTTATAGCAAGAAACCAATATCCTTTTTATATAAACTCATGTCTGTATTTCAGGAGCAAACTCTTCAGGCTCCTTTTTTATAAACTGGTGACTTTTCCTTTGTCTAAAAAACACATGCAGAAAATTTACCAAAAAAATACAGAAGAATAATGTAGTTTAGAAATCATGCTGTCACTGCCAAACAGAAACCTCCAGGAGAAACAAAGTGAATACCAGAGGCCAATTCAATAGAATCAGTCTTTTGATAGCTTTTTAACAGTTATGCTTATATTAATAATTTCAATGTGGACCAGGCATTCTTCTTATATTTTAAATGAAATGTTATGACATATTTTAAGCAACAGTTTGTATCTGTAATCCTAATATTTCATACTGAAGACACAGAATCCTTTCACTTGTCTTTAACATTAGAAATTAGAAAGGATTTCTCTTTATTAAGGACTGATCATTAGAAATAGTTCTCAGTCTTTGAGATACAGGTTCATATCACTGCTTTTAGTCTGTAATCATGACTCATAATGGTAAAGACAACTACATTTAGGTAAAAATCATGCATGCCAATTCTGTGTTTGCTTTTTAGCAGATATAGAAGATTTCCTTTATTTCTTTGTAATTGTTCGGATATTTTGAAAGATGCAGCATTTGAAACCAAGCTCTTGTTTGGCTACTGAATGATTTACAATTGTCCCTCCACTCTAAATGGAATGAGCTTGCTGTGTGTGTGTGTGTGTGTGTGTGTGTGTGTGTGTGTGCAGCTGCTTCACAATTAGGAAATACTATAGGACAACCCAACATGGCTCAGTGGCAACTTGGTGGCATTGCTGATATGCAAGTAAGAACACAGGGTGGAAGGAATAGCTAGATGCCCCTCAACACATTTCAGATGTCCTTAGTTACCAGAAACATTTCTGGTTCAGGAGAAGTGAGATGATGCTAATACTGGTTTCTGGTTAAACTTGTAATTGGAGAGCCACAAATTGCAAAGATGTCCTTTTGCCCTTTCCTTTATTTGTGAGTGGATTTGAAACCATTAATCCTATTTTACTTAGCCCTTATTTCATTCTAGAAGCTCAGGGTTTTTGTAGTCCCTGAAAGAACAGTTTGTAATTAATTGGGAAAAATGGTACTTGGGATTGGGGGGATCTAAATTTCAGGCTAGACTCCTACACAAGAACCCCAATGGTCTTTCTCAAGATCTCATTTAACTCCATATATTTATTTGAAGATGAGAAAATGGAGACCTGGGCACATTAATGACCTGGTGGAATGGTAGGAGCAGAAGAAAAATCCAGGCTTTGTTATGCCCAGGTTCCACACTAGCTCTCGGAACATTTTCTTACTTGTGACATATGTGTCACCAGAAAATACTAAACATGATTTCTTTAGAATAATTTTTGATCCAATAATCCAATACTCTCCTATACCAATAGTACATCTTCCATCTTTCTTTTAATCCATTATAAGGAATGTTTCTGTACTTCCACTTCAGGTGGGCTCAGTATAATTCAAAATTCAAGTCTACAATAATTGTATTTTGAATTGGTCAATTTTTAGTGCAATTTTTTGTGCACAGTTGAGCTCCTTCACCCCTATTATTCACTACCAAATTTACCCAATCCAGTTTTACCACACCTGTTTCATTGTGTTGACTTATGCACAGTCAGAAAACAACAAATCAGCAAGCATTTGCCACCACTCATCATAACTTCTCCCTTCCTCTACATACCCATCACACACACATACACACTCACACACAAACACACACACACACCCCATCTTCTGCTTGTTCCTACCTCTTGAGTTTTCTTCCCTACACAACTAGAAATAGAGACAAAGAAGAGGAAATGTATATATATGAGGGCTGGGCTGAACAAGTAACTTCACAAGTAGTGTTAACTAGAGGTAAATTGAGAGAAAAGCTCCTTTTCATTGTTTTGGAAAGGATAGCCATTAGCATGACTGCTTTGTGTCCTTATGGACTTTAGTATTAGCCTAGACTGAAGCATATAGTTTTTTAGCTGGAAGGAACCTTAAAAATACATCATCTACTCCAAATTCCTCATTTTTCAGGCCAGGAAATAGAGATGCAGAGGTAAAATAATTTCCCTAAGGTCACACAGTTGGCCAAAGGCAGGGCTGGGATTAGAACCCACATCTTTTTCCTCTTATTCCAGGGTCTTTCCCCACTAACCAGTATTGCCTTCCACTAGGCTCCTGAGAATTCTTTCCCAGGGTCACGTAGCATCTTGGAGCCATATGCTGCTGTCCTGATCTCAGTGGGAAATCTACCCCAAACCTAATATGGTCCTTTCTCCCTACATTCACAAGATCTCCATCTACATGGGCTGCAGATGTTCCCAGAGAGGGAAGAATTGAGAACCAATAAGAACAATGATCCGTCCAGCTCAGGGATCACTGCCCCCACACCTTGAGGTGCCCCTCAATAGACTCTAATTTCCTGCTCTGTCAAAATGTTATGGAAGACTAACACCCCTATCAGCTCACCTCATGTCATCTCATACTTGCTGGCCTTCCCAGGCTATAGGAAAGTTTCTTGTTTCTAAAGCAGGGAAAGCAGAAAGGAAGAATAGAATAATAATTTTATTCATCCTGACTTTCTGTAGTGGTTTTTCAAACTAGAGTGGCTACCATTACTACTGGTAATGATTTCTTTTAAAATATGTAAGTAAGGGCCAGGGATTTAGCTCAGTGGTTCTGGCGCCTGCCTTGCAAGCGCAAGGTCCTGAGTTCGATTCCCAGTACCAAAAAAACCAAAACAACAACAACAACAACAAAAAAAACAAAAAATAAAATATGTAAGTAAGACCAGCTAGATAAAATAATTGGTCTTGCTGTGTTTGCCCTCATTCACAGTGTCCCCATAGCCATCTTGCCCTAATGGGGACAATTTCCAGGTATAACCAAGGGTTTGTGTATAAAATGTACCCTGGCTGATGTTAAACACTGGCTCCTTGTATTTTCACTAAAACAGCAAGCATACCCATTTTCTTGTGTACACTTCTCCTGTGGCCTTCCATGGCAGAAGCCAGGGAAAAAAGGTCTTAGCATGTAGTTTTCTCTGCAGCAAGTCTTCTCCAGATCTAAAGTTATTCATCAATTGAGTTCTAAGAGACTGCCTACTAGGCTTTTCCCACTCCTCAGGTATTTCTTTCACCTTCCTGCTTCTTCTCCCCAGTCAGAAGTAACTAAAGAATCTTAAAGGAAATGTCAAGTTATCTCTCAGATTCTTCTTAAAATCACCCCATCTGAATTTTAGACCAGCAATTCAGTGCTTGCCTTCGACAGTATTGTGTCTTCATCCCTAATGTCTATAATATACCGTGTAGAAATGTCCCTAGTCCCTTTCAGATTTGATTCTAAATGGAATTTCTTTAAACACACACACACACACACACACACACACACACACACACACACACACTTCCCTGAGATGGGAGAATAAGCCTGCCCATATCCTCCAAATGAGCTCCAGCACAGTGATGGGAATGTTTCAAAGAATCATCCTACCTAAGAAACATCTTTGTCAAGGGACTTCCCTAGACAAAATCAGTGGGACAGTGTGGTGTGGGTGACCTGTTCCCTATCTTTTTTCCAAAAGGAAGAAGAAAGGAAGCAAAAGTGACTGAAATCTGTTTTGGTCACATGGGGCCATTTGGATCCATGACTAGGTCTCACTCATGTTTTGCCCTCACTGCATTACAAGATTTGGATTTTAGGCTTAGACTAATTTCCTAAGTAAATCATCTGTGGTTTGCAGCTCATCTGGGGCAAAGAAGGGGCTGGGATCCTATGCTTTGGAACATGGAACTCAAAGAGGGCAAAGACTAATGGTATGTTAGGAGTGATCTGGACCCTCTTTTGTAGCAATGGAACCTTGGAAATGGAGACTTTCCTGAGTCTCCAATATGGAATTTAGAAGTTTTCACATCCTCACCTGCCCTTTGAGGGCAGCCCCATCTACTGTTGTGTAGCCCCAATCCATTGTTCTGTGAATCCATGCAGATTTCCCTCTTCCTTGTAGGCATGACTACTTGGAGCAAGAACAGTTCATTGATTCTTCATGTCTACCTTTTGGTTGGAAAGGCACTGGGTTCTCTAGCTTTTGGTGGCCCATACCAAGTAGACTGCTCTTTTACAGCCCTTAAAGGCTGCAGTTATGTACTAAGACAATATAAGACATTTCTTAAAAATGAATTTACAATTTTATTCTTCCTCTGTCTTGCAGAAAATACTATTAGAGTATGTAAAAGCCTAGAGATTCTTGTTACACCATAGCCAAGGCACAAATGTGGGGAGGAAAATGAATTTTTAAACCAACAGAGCACTGACTCCAGTGAAAATCCTACTATGGGCTGAGGCTGTCAGCAGCTCCTAGCCCCTTCCATTTTTTTCTCATCAGAAACTAGCAAACTCTTTCTCCATAAGCCTGTCTTTCAGTATGCCTGAGTAAAGAATATAACCCCTCCTGTTCCTTCAGGAGAAGGTGCCTTTCCACTCTATCTCTCCTACCCTGGTTCCCAGAGCTCGCTTTCATCCCCAGGGTCTAATGTGATCTTTACACCAGCCTCTTGGTGATGCTTCTTGCTTGTTTTCTTTGTTAAAAATCTATGCACATCTCATACTTTGGCCAAGCTAAGTGTGGCATTTAGCTCACATTTGACAAGACTAATTTTGTATCCTTTAGTTTATTGACTTCAACTTCTTCTGGGATTAAAGGCAATTGTTTCTTACCTTGAATGCCTGGGGCTAGGTATAGGGAGTATAGAACTCCTTTTGGGATTAAAACATCTTCCTGTCCCCAATTAGAAGGGCAGGTTAGTTGGGAGAGTTCAGATGGCACAACAGAAGTCAAAACAAACACCTTGTAAACTAAGGCAGACTTGAAGGCATAGAAATGTATTGTTTCTGGAAAATAATCCAAGGGAATAAACGGCTTTTTGCCACTCTGCCTCCTAAGCATCTCTTTTCTTTTCTTTCTCTATCTAGTTCCTTATAATTGTTCTCTGTCTATACTCTATGTTATCACTCTCTTTCCACAGTGCAGACATCCACTCTTCATTCTATGCAATTATTATCTCTTAATTTTTCCTCTTTCTCCTAGCCTTGGCACTGAGGGTATGCATCTTCTTAGCCTGTGATTTTGTCTTGGGATTGAAGAGAATTTATTTTCAGATTCAACCCACCCTGTTCCTATCCCATCCCAGTCAGATATATATTGCTGGGGATCAACCCAATCCTGGCCCTTTCTTCTTTGCCATTTTCAATCTCAGCCTATCTTCTCAACCATTTCCTTTAAGCTCATGTATCTTTGGGTTTTGTCCTTCCAAGCACTGTACAGAATATTCTGTGGTTCCTTTTTAGTCTGCCATTTTGTGGAGCAATGAAGGTGCTCACAGATTGTTAGCTGAACAGAAAAATCCATCCACGAATTCATATCAGCTAGATGCTATTAGTTGATTTATTTACTTTAGTCATAGTTTAAAAAGCTGCACTATAATATAAGGAGAGACTACAGGTAATTGCTCCTGTCATTTGGTTTGGCTGGGTTGCGAGTGGGGAAAATGGAAAAATCTGTTTAAACTTTTACCGCAACTTATTAAATAAGCTCCCTGTAATAACCTTATATTTTGAGTTTACCAGCTGTTGAGTTTTTAAGATAAATTGGTCAGCAATTGGAGTTTATTTAAATGAAAATGGTATTTAACCAATCCATACTATACAAAGAAATTCACTTAATTGCAATGTATTTTTCCTTCAGTTAGGATACTTACCTAAACATTTTACTTTGACAACAACTGTTCATGATCCTGCACAAGCAGTTTACATATGAGCAATTAGTTGGTCTAAAGAAACAGCTTCTAGGTGCTAATTTTACAACAGACTCTATAGCCTGGGAATGTCATTGCTTGGCAATACCATATGGAATGCCAAAGTCTCTAACGACTTTTCATTTTAAGCTCTTTTAAAGGGGTTTGAGCAAGTAAGAGATTATGCCAGAATGTCTCCAATGGATGGTCCTGTAATATATTGCAGCTTGAAGCCAATGATCTCTTATGACTTGTACACAACTAATGCATGTTTTGATTGAATTTTGCATTCTTCACATGCAGTAAGTTCTTTAAAACATTTTTGGTCACATTTTTGTGCCATTAATCTTGTACAGAAAGTGCTTTTCTGGCCATTTTCAAAGAGGGAACGTTTAAAATGGGAACAGCCCACCCTTTCTGCCCTATAGCTGTAGTTAGACTTAAGTAACTGTAGCAAAACAGCTGTAATTGGTGGTTGTAGTGTTAGAAGTGTTAGCTTGCTAGTGACTAGCTTTGGAGAGTAAATGCATGGTATTATACAATCACATTTCTTAAATAACTCATTTTAACCTCTGAAAAGAATATATTCTTCCTTGTAGCCCCTCTTCCCTTTGCCCCTCTCTGCTCCCAGGTATCTTACAATTGTAAATAACTGACTAACGGGCCAATAATTCTCACCAAGAAAAGTCAGCAAAGAACAAATAAACCAAAAAGGGAGAGAAAGGCTTTTCTCAGCAGTCTCTCAGCAGTTATTGACCATTTCTCAAGGAATGACATGATGATCAAAAATTCAGCTCCCCTCTGCATCAAAAAATCACTGCCAAATTGGGAGTGTCTTTGGTCCTTGGATTACATTACAGAATTGAATAATTCTCAGAATTGCACATAATTCAAAGACAATAGACAATGATGTCCCAGTAGTTTTGAGGAATTTGGAGACATCAAAAGGCTCAGCTTGATCAATGACCAATACTTATGTGAAACAAGAAAAGGAAAAGAAAAAAATGCAACAAATACTTAGGGGTTTTAGCCACCCCTTTAGAATAATAATTATAGCCAGAAACAGCAAGGACATGATGGGTTTATATGCATTGCTGTCTATTTCCCAGGTAATGCCTAGCCCACTCTTAGACTGTGATTCAAAGGCAATATTTCAAGGAGACATTCTCCTTTTTGGTTTACTGTTCCCCATTGGACTGGTGGGTTTGGTGAGGCCCAAGTAAACTGAATGGAAAAAACCCTTTTATTTCCTGTGCCTGGTAACATCCCTCTTCCCTTTCCCCCTCCATAATTTGATGAGGGCTCTTTGGTCAGAGGACTTCCAGGTTGTCTAGAGAAGTTACCCATTTGTGTAAGGTGTTGTGAACTGTGAATCCTGCAGATATGCGGTGTTCAACACTGGGCAGCCAAAGAGCTGCTCTTGCAATCATTTTGGCTCTCAACCCCCGTTCTCCATAGCATTCTCATTTCTGTGTACATTTGCAAGATGTATGTAATGTGATTTTCAAAAAATAAACCTTGATTTCAATATTTTTGGCTGATATTCTCTTTTTTAAACCATCAAGTCAATGATTGTATAACCACAACATAATTAACCTGGCAAGAAACAGACATCATATTGTCTAACCTCTCAATTTTATAGATGAGGAAGCTGAGGATCAACGTATAATGGAAAAAATGTAATTAACAGCACAGCATATTTGTAACATGTAAGCTCTTGACTCTCCCTCCAAAGTTGAACAGGAATCAAATAACCTGTTTTGTATATAAAATGCTTTGCCCAAAGTCATTCTGTGTCACTATGATAGGTGACAACTTCTAGTGTGTTTTCTAAAACACAAAAAAAGACCTGCAATTCATTTAACAGTCTAATCTTCCTTCCTCAATAGGTTGATAGTATAACTACTACCTTGAAGGAAGAACACATATATCTTGCTCAGCCTTAGGCACAAATGATTAAATATTTTTCTCAGACTGTTTTAATGAGATCAAGAACACAAGGAAGTAGGCTTGGGAAGAAGTTGATGTAGAGGGTGAGAAGGAAGGGCACAGAAAGAAGAGGCTGGAACCTTGAGAAATGCTTTGGCCAATTCTGTGAGAGCCAATCCTACAGCTCCCACCTGACCTATGTTTGGAGACACAAAGATGCCAACATCCCCGAAGCACTCCCAAGGACTGAGGTAAGTAGGAATTCCTCTTCCATACAGTATGTTATCAATTAGCCTCATAGCCATCACTCTGGTGAAGATGAATATAATAGATGGAGATAGGGCTGCATTAGTTACTTTTCTCTTGTTGCTGGGACAAAATACCTAACACCCAAAGTTAAAGGGGGAGGGATTTATTTAGCTCACAGTTTGTAGAGGTTTCAGTCCATAATCGGCTGGCTCCAAGGCAGAGTGGCAGATGGCAGAGAGGTGTTGCAGAGAAGAAACAATTCATGGTGCCTACATGGTGGCAAAAGCAACAAGGGAAATTTAACAGCGTTTTTCTGCCCCTTTTACCTTATCCAACTAGTTAAGGTGAGTGGCACTCACACCCTTAATCCTAGTGCCCTTAGGCCTAGCATTGCACCATGAATTAATCACACACTCAAGATTCAATCACCTCTGAAAAAGCCACCTATGACCACATGAGGCTTTGGGAGACATCTAGACCTAAACCATAACAAGGGCTTCTTACTGTTCCTCATCTAATCAAAAGTTGGATGTAACAATCAGACTGGTTTGGCTTCTGCATAAAAAAAATTTGTAATAAAAATTTCACCAGACTGTGGTTGGAGGAGAAAACTAAGGACAGTGCAGTTGCTTTTTTTGGTAGAAATAATGTACTCCATTTAATTGATTACCTTTTGTTTTGATATTATATCATTTTCACCTTTTGTAATTAAAAATATCCTTTTTGTGAAATTGTGGCTATGGCAGAAGATGGGTATGTATTTGTTTCTCAATGCCCAGATGAGGCAAATTTTCTTAGTATGTTAGTAATATGGAATGGTAAGTTTTGTTTTGGGAAATTTGTACATGCACTTAACATATCTCAATCATTTTCAATCTTACTACCCCCTCCTCTCTCAGTCCTCCCCCTTTCCCCTTCTCCCTCTCCAAAAGTCAACCTTCTAGTTTCCTGTCATCTCTCCTTTAATTAATTTTTTTCAGGCTTCTCATATAAGAGAAACCAGACCACTGGAATAGAGCAGAAGATGCAGAGAAAAACCCATATACATACCATCATTTAATTTTTGACAAAGGGGCCAAAAAATACACTAGAGGAAAGACAGCCCCTTTAACAAATGGTGCTGGACAGCCTGTAACCCCAGCTCTCAGGAGGCTGAGGCCAGAGGATCACAAGTTCAAGGCCAGTCTAGACTACATCGTGAGTCCAAGGATACCCTGAACTCATAGCAAGACTTTGTCTCAAAAAATTCCATATACATAAACATTGATCTGAAAAATCTAATGTTACCTAAAGAACCAAGATGCAAGATTGTTCATTATAACAGTTATACAATAAAATGTAAAAGTGTAGGGAACAGGGGAAGGGGACGTTACCAGAACCTCTGCAGTGAGTCCTGGTCTCCTGCGAGCCACGGCAGCACACGGCCAATTACAGGAAAGGTAGAAAAATGAGACTGAGAAAAAGCTGAGCTTTGGGTCTGATCAGTGCTGCTCAGGGCAGCAAAGACAAAAGCCCCCAGCTTACTGCACCTTTTATTCAGTACATCGGGAGAAACAAAGGTAACAAATGGCTTGCAGAGAGTTCAGTACATCCGCGTAAACAAGATGGTAAAGGTCCAAGAACAATGAGGAACTGAGTGGATGTTTTGTTCCTCCCAGGATGTTTTCAGCTCCCAGGATGTTTTCAGCTCCCAGGATGTTTCTTGTCCTGGAGAATCACAGCATCACCGGATCATTGAGGTCTCAGTTGTGACCGGAGGCCAAAATGCAATTATGTCTCGGAATTCCATAGCTGGGCTGTAGGCAGGAGACTTAGGCTAACCAAATGATTTTTCCCTAAAATTATGTAGCATTGCTCCCGACATAAAAGGATGCATATCACTTATTGATAAATGGAACAAGTGCATGTAAAAACAGATGAGAAAAGTACAAATGTATAAATTTGCGAGAAAAGGGAATTAAACTGGAGATGGACATGAAAAAAAAAACACAAATGGTGCTGGTAAAATTGGATATCTGCATGCAGAAGATTGAAACTAGATCACTTTCTCTCCTCCTGTACTAAAATCAAATTAAAATGGATCAGAGTCTTATATTTAAAACCAGAAACTTTGAAACTACTAAAAGTTAACATTGGGGAAACATTTGAAGCCATAGGCACAGGCAAAGACTTCCTGAATAAGACTCCAGTAGCACAGGAAATAATAGCAAGAGTAGACAAATGAAACTATATCAAATTGAAAAGGTTCTGCACAGCAGAGGCAAAATCTAAAGTGATTTATCCTGAGAAGGTTCATTCAGTTCAAATGTGTCTATCTTTATTTCTTTTCTTTTTCACTTCTGATGATCTGTGAAGTCTAGAAGTTTAGCGACCACTGGTTTAAACTGAGAGAATGGAGAAATAGAGACACCAGTATGGAGTGCGTTGTAAGAAAACAGGAGTTTTGTATTTGAAGGAAGTTCTTCCCAAGAGCACTCAGTATTTACTATTTCCCTCTCTTCTCTCTCTTCTCAGCTTCTCTGAGTTCCTCCCTCAGACTCCCTTTAGCCTTTTCTGCCTACAGTGTGAGCAGTGGTGCCCACATTACTAAGCAGCTCCACCTAGGAATTTGTCAGAAATGCACATCTCCTAGCCCAACCCCATATATATAGGACTCTGGGTATGGAGTCCAATGCTTCTGTGCAAAGAAGCCCTCTAGGAGGACTCTGAAGCTGGAAATGGTGGTTCATACCTATAATCCTAGAACTCTTGAGAGGCTGAGGCAAGAGGATGTAAGATAGAGCCCAGCTTAGGCAATTTAGTGACTTAGTAAGACTCTGTTTCAAAATAATTTTGAGAGGGCCTGAAGGCCCAGGGTTCAAATCCCCAGTGCCACAAACAGAAAAAAAAAAAAAAAAAAAAACAAGGTTCTGGCTCTCTTTCTTGTTTGGAAACTCTGCTCTAGTGAATTCTACTTCCTTTACCCCGGGACTCAGTGAGAATTTATGTAGCATGTGTGATCTCATGGGCTATTTGAGTTAGAGTTTGCATCCGTCCCCAAAGGAGAGACTCAAGAAACTGTCACTTCTAGCAAGATCTTTATACATTTAGTTTCTTGTGGGGAGAAAGACAGCCTTTTCAAGCTTGAGACAAAACTTGTGTAGGTACTAGAATAGAGGTTCACAGCTGTTGCAAGAGTCCAGATGGGAACAGAAGGAGACTGTGTTAAGACCAGAGCTGGGGTAGGGTGGGGTGGGGGTGGAGCGTGGAACCGTCAATATTAAAGTGTCAGAATTTGGTGGGCAAATTGGATACAGGGAGGAAAGAGAAAGAGAGAAAGCCTTGATCTGAGCGATTCAGCCCAAGCTTCTCCCATTCCCAGACCGCCTCTGCTCTGAACAGCTCAGTAGCCTCTCACACACCTCCTCTGACTTCAGCCCTGGCTCTGCAATGCTCATTCACACTTCACTCTTGCTCACAGATCTACCCTTCTTTGCCTGCCTAGAAAAATACCCTCTGAATGCCCTTCCACATTTTCTCCACCTGTTTAAACCTCAAATGTAGCCAAACCCTACCAGCAACAGAACTGAAGGCATATTTATAAGAAAAACAAACCCAAACATAGAGAAAAACTGGCAACTTTCTATCCTGAACTTTCTAGGCAGTCCTGATCTTATGTAATTTTTTCCATTTCCAAATAAAGAAGATTTGTTAAACATATATCTAAAAGTGATTTTGTTTTTCTACCTTTCTAAAAAAAAAATGTATCACAAAGCAGAAAACATCCTTCGTCAGGCCACACATCTGCACTGAGAATTTGGAAAATGGGATTCCTTTCAGGGCAAAGCTTTCCCCAAGTTTCCTTATCAACTTATCTGGCACCTCCCTTTTGCAACTCTTTGCTAGTGTTGGAGAGGTTATGCACCCTTCATTTCCAACACCCTCTTTTCAATACTCTTAGAGGGTTTTTTTACATTGTTTGATTATATCAAACCTGATTGCTTTGAGGAGATTGAGTAAGCAGGTAATTTCTGTTTGAATACTGGAGGCTACTGATTTTCTCCAATCAAGAAAACCTGGCTACAATATTGTAATCTTTTCCCCCCTGCCTGCACAGCCCTGCCTGCCTATGTCAGTATGATTCTGACATACTTCTGTCAACTGAGAGAGGTGTAAATCCTGGAGTTTTGATTAAATGCCCCTATTTATTCTCCCCAGAAATGATCTGGTGCATACAGAATTGCAGAATGTCAAAGGTAAAAGGTCCTTTATAAACCACTTGGCCTGTGTTTCTCAAACTTCTCTGGGGATATAAGTCACATGGAATACGTATTACAAATACCATTTTCAGGACCCCCTCTCAGTCCCACTTCGTTGGTGTCTCAAAG